GTTTTGTATGACGAATACGAAACTAGCAAAAGTTCGGTTCACACTTAACGAAACTTCTAGATGGTTTCGTAGTGAAACCTCAAAACCCTTTACAACTTTCGGAACTTATAAAGGTTCTGTATGAAAGTTCCGAAACTATTTTGATGCCACGGAACTTAAAATCGTTTCGTAAAATAGTACCAAACCTTCAAAGTTCGGTAAAACACTTATTTTTTTTACAGTGCACACACCCTCAAGAGCAAATTATTCGTTTCATAGGAAGTTTTCCTGTTTCGCGCAAAACACGATCAAATCTTGGAAAGTACTTGCTTTTATTATCGCTGAGATTATACTTCACATTAATTTTGAAATCTTCAACATATTCTGGTATAGCATAGCTGAAAACGTACGAGAACCGTTTCATTCATTTTTCCTTAGTTCATAGCAGGATCCTGAAACTTAAATTTTGAACAGTCTCTAAGCAGAAACTTGGCAAGATCTTAACTTGGCTCTTGTATGTTTCTTATCAAGATCCTGATAATGCTTATAATTTTTTTAAAGCATTCGAAACTTCTGTTCGTGTCCATCTCCGCTCAGCATCCTGATCGAAATTCAGTAGCATTCCTTACTTGAGAACTTTGACTAGTCTTGTTTTATTCCTGGAATGATCCTTCTCTGATATAGCGATAACTCTTGACAAGATCCTCGTATTTGGATCCTGAACAGATCTTGATGTAATCCTCGCTATGATGTTTGTCAGATTTTTGGATATAAATCACCGTGAATGTTAACACGATACTATAAACTGATTTGAGAAAAGAATCCGAGCAAAAACTTGTACAACTCCTGAATACAATACTGAATAAACTTGACCTGATTCTTGAAATGTCTGATCCTGAAAGATCCTTCAGGCTTTCTAAAGATGTGAATACTGCTGAGTGGACACAACAGCAACTTGAAAATATCTTTACTAAATCCTTACATTTTCTCAGCAGGATTCTGACTGACGCTTTCCAGCATTACCTAGTGTCGTATTCCGACTGATCTTGTTAATTTCTTGCTAAGATCCTCGTCTGATGCGAACATCACTCCTGATACGAAGATTTGATCTACATTTTCAAGAGAATTAGATAAAATCTTGGTAGAATCTTCCATCACAATCTTGAGAGTATCCTGTATTCAATCTTGCGTAAATCCTCGCAGGATCCTGAATTCTTATCTTAAAAAATTATCTGAGCAGGAACTTGAAATAATCCTGAACAGAATCTTGGACAGGATCCTACCAGGATTTACTCAAGATCGTGTAAAGGATTCTGTTCAAGATGTTTTCAAGTTCCTGTCCAGATATCATGCTAAGATAATAATTCATGATCCCACCAGGATGGACTCAAGATCGTAAACAGGATCCTGAATTGTTACCTTAAAGTACTATCTGCGCAGGAACTTGAAGAAATCCTGAACAGGATCCTGTTTCACCGTGAAATATCCTGAATACAGGAAATGTTAGGATTTGAAACAGGATCCTGAATAAAACTTGACAAAATCTTTGAGATTCAGGATCCTGTAGGACCCTTCCAGGATTCCCTAAGGAATGACAAGGATTGAGACTAGGGTGAGTATGCCAAAATAGAGACCTTTGGAATACGCGTTTTGAGAAAGTGAAAATTGAGGAAAAACGAAAAACAGATTTTAATTTTCCAAAAACAGCTGGCTTTTCGAAAGGGGGCGCTGAAAATCTTTGAAAATTTTGGTCGAAATGGAGATATTCTTGAAATTTTTTATCAAATCTGAAAGAGCAGAAGTCAGGCTCTATCTCCCTAAGTATCTTAATTTTCGTGATTTTTCCGAAAAACGACTTTTCTAACGTGAGTTAATATCAGGTATGTGACAGCTCATCTCAGCTCAATGAGGTGGATAAAATCGCTTCGTACATTTGAGATGAGCGGAGCGGTGGGACCCGCTCATTTGAAATGAGCGGAGCTGATGATCAACTTTCGTGATAGAGGTACAGCGGAAAGGGAAAAGAACATATTTTTGAAACTTGAGGGACTTTGCTACACTTAAAATACTATGAAGTGCCAAATACTCTCAGGTAACTCGTGTATCCTGCTGTCTTTTTCAAGTATCACAGAGATTGGACTGTTTAATATTATTCATAGAGTCTTCAAGAGAGTGTCAATGTTGATGTAGCCGCAAAGAAAAGAACTATTAGTGAAATCGCTACAAGACTAGACTGTTACAAGTTCATGGTGGACTTAAAATTATTTATACGGAATTCTATCGAGAATCGGAGAATGGATCACTGGACCCCACTCATGGAGAAAGAGCGGGTAAAACCACCCCACTCACTAACAAAGAGCGTGCCAATAGACCCCGCTCATTGACTGAGAGCGGGTTAATAGACCCCACTCATTGAAAAGAAGCCGGTCATCATAGGTTTGGACCCGCTCTTCCGACTCATTGAGCGGTGAGCTGTCGTATACCCAGTTAATATCGTATTTACTAGTAAAGCTAATGTAAAGTCCCATCCCTACTGACATTTACATGAAGGTTCGTGAATTACAGTTCTTTCACAGACAGGCGAATCCTAAAAAGGTTATGCTGACTGAACGTCTGGCTCGCTTTAAATTAACGAGAATGAAGTGTTAGAGTTTTTTAATTTGCCTGAGAAAAAACATTCCATTTTTTACAATGTTCAAAATCTGAAGTATAGTGAGACATTAGTACTGCTTGCATTAGTCTTTTTGTGTAATCATTTGAACATTTCAGTAGAATACTACAAAAATCTTTTCGATACTGATCAATACCTTTAAGATCACGTTAGCTTTGATGGCTTTCAAAAGTCGATTCGTATCAGCATAGACAAACATTTACTAGTAAATGTCACTATGTAATTTATGAATATAGTTTCTATTTTATGTACATAAGTAGGGCTTGAAGGAAAAGTTTAGATGCATGATACTACTGTCAACTCCAGTTAGAGTAAACGACATCATCTTAAAAAATTTTCATATAACAATAAATGAGAAAACCATTTTTGACCCCTAATAAACGGAAAAGCGTTTTCGGAATTTGCAGCATATAGCAAGCCCTGTTTGTTCGCTTCAGACAAAGATAATAAATGATTTTTGCGTTCATAATATGTAAATATGGTATATTACTTAGAAATCTCAAAAATGGATAAAAGAGCTTACTATGCACTGCAATACGAAAAACTCTAGCTGTGTTTTTACAAAGATTACTGATATTCATGCTGCTTATGAGGATTTCTTGAAATCAAAATGTTTGCTTTTGGACGCACAAAAAAGGGATGCTAGATAGCTTCTTTCAGTTTTACAGATTTTGGAACCGATAATGGGTCATACACACGCAAGTGGTTTTGAACAAGGTCATAAACAATCGAATAATCAAAACAATGGTGAGGTCAGTGCATTCTACTGGGCATGTCGCAATGGTGATATTGAGTTAGCAAAAGCAATGGCACCCGATATACCTTATGATCAACTGAACCGATTAGAACCTAATGGAAGCACACCCCTTCATGCTGCGTCATTTTTTTCTCATGCAGATGTTGTTGAGCTTCTTCTGCATGAATATGGCGTTCCAAGAAATTATGTGAATCAGTATGGACTAACTGCTTATGAAGAGGCACAAACTGAGAGAGTAAAGCGATTATTTTGGCGAGTATCAAATCGATTTTGTGACCCACAGGAAAATGTTACAGATACGTTTGACATTCTCGCCGTAAAAGCAGATGAAATAGAAAACAATCGCAGCATCTTCAATACTGAAGATGAGCATGAGGAAGACACAAAGGAGGCACCGGAGCAGAGTATATGGCTTCAATCGTACCAAGCAAAAGATATCAAAGAAGAAATATATTATTACCGCAAAGGTAAAGCGTTGATTCAATCAAGCATTGCCAGATTTATTATGCGACAAGGACCTAAATTTTGCCCTCACTGTAAACAGAACAAAGAAGTCATGAACGAGTTTATTTCTTATTTTGACGATGCGACATTTCGAGTGAACAAATTAAAAGCAATTGTGTATGAGTGTGTACCGCCAACGGATAAATATTATAATAGATGTCATCAGCTCTTGACAGAATATTCGGAAAAAGGAAATGTTGAAGCGCTATTAACACTTTACACATTAGAAACTGAGTTTTATAAAAAAAATTGCAAATGCTTGTCAAGCCATTAGCTGGTCTATATATATTACTTTACCAAGTTTGGAGCAACGCTTTTTTAAAGGCACATCTTACCGCGGTTTGAAAATGTCCAAAGAAGAAATTAACCAATATCGATGGGCATTAAAAAATTCAGAGAGTCTGATTAAAACCAAAACATTCTCATCTACGTCAATAAAACGTGATACAGCTGAAGGATTTGCCGTTGGATCGGATTCGGATAGATTCAGCGTTTTAATAATTCTTGAATTTCCTGAGGTTTCAGACATGGCAATCAATTTGGGAAAAATAGAGAAACAAAAATTACAATGTATTGCTGAATTTGAAGAAGAGCAGGAGGTACTCATTCTCCCACAGACGTTTTTTCGTGTCAAAAACATTGAATTTAATACCGAAAAAGACCAGCATGAAATTCATTTACAGAATATCTTAGTGAAGAAAAGCTCATTGCTTAGTGCACTGAAATTTATGATTGTTCGAGACGAAGAACCCAAATTAATCGATTACTATGTTAGCCATAAGTTTTGATTATAATCAAATAAACATGCATACATAATTTCAAACTGGAGTATACAGTAGGGGTGGACCATTTTTTTTAACGGAACTTAATTAATGACATTAATTAATGACTTCCATTAGCCATTAATCTTAATGGTTAATGTTTTCTAAGAAAAACTTAATTCATTAATATTAATGATTAATGAAAAACATTAACATTAATTTTAAAATTAATGTTTTCATTAATCATTAATATTAATGTTAATGTTTTCATGAAAACATTACCCATTAACATTAATATTAATGATTAATGAAAATATAATCCCTAATATTAACGAAAACATTACTATTCATACTAATGGTGAATGTTTCCGTTAACCGTTAATATCATTCAAGAACATTGACATTAATATTAATGATTAGTGAAAACATTAATTTTAAAATTAATGTTAATGTTTTTCATTAATCATTAATATTAATGAATTAAGTTATTCTCAGAAAACATTAAGCATTAATATTAATGGTTAATGAGAAACATTAACATTAATATTAAATTAATGTCAATGGCCCACCCCTAACTGGAAGCATGGAGAAAAATAAAGAACATATAAGTTTAATCTGAAAGAGTGATTATATTTTCTACTGAATAGAATAGAAGTTGAGCGTACACTAGTCTGTGCCATTTGCGTGTAGATTAGACATATTGATTTGATCTGGAAGCTGTTATGATGTGGGAGAGTGATAGTGGTTGTAAGATGACTGCACATAATTGGATATGGATCAATTAACGAGGGGTCTTTCATCTTTCTGTTTTATGGTATCTGAAGGAAAGTACGATTGAATATTTAAGAAAGTTTTGGATAAACAAGAAAATTCTTACTTGGAAGTGGGGTTGGTTTTAACATTGTTGGATGTGGTCTTTTTTGTACTAGCTCATGTCCAGTGTTACGATGATTTCGATGCCCAACAATTAGTCGAAGATTTATTGCTAGTGTATCTTGAAATATTTCTGAATAAATATTATGTATGTCATGTTTCAGACTATGTAGTCGTTTTTCATGTGTATAATGAAGAAAAAGAGTGTTTACGAATTTATTTTGTTTATTTTGTTTTGAAATTGTAGTGGTCGTTGTTGTTTTTTCTTCAGTATTGTGATTGTCAATCTCTTCATGAAATGAAACAGCTGCAATTCTATGTTGTGTTTCTCGTTCTTTGACAGTGAGTTTAGGTAGTAAGGTATTTCGCAGAGCTAAAAATTGATTCTCGTTGGCGATGAATGATATCATAGATGATTTTGACATTGAGCGACCGAATAATTTTCGGAAATGTGGTGTGGGTGTGAGTGTGGGTGAGAGTGTGACTATGGGAGTAACTCTTACTCTGAAGTGCACACCCACCCACACCCACACCCACACCCTCACCAATTATAGAGCAACATCAGTTGAATAGCACGACGTTCCTTTTCAAAAATTGTCAATATTGATGAATAATGTACAGCTCGAAGAAGAGCAGCTTGGATAATATTAGAAAATACATGACGTGAATGATCAGAAATAAATGGTAAAACACAGGGTTCAGCTGCTGGTTTATGATGGACAGATGTGGATAGAATACCATTATTGTTCTTGATAAGAATATCAAGAAATGAAACACAACTACCAGTATTAGCTTCTAATTTGATGTTTGGATGAAAACCATTAGCTTTCTTGATGACTGTTTCCATTTTTGCCTTTGGTTCATTAAAAGTAAAGAATATATCATCAATATATCGAGGATGATCATAGGAAAAAATAATCAATCTCTTCAAATAGAACCAGAAGATGAATAAATAAATAATAACATACCGGCCATAGATTTCATAAGGCTCTAATGCACCACAGATGGCATTTTTTTTTCACATTTCCATATGAAAATATTGGCTAATGTTTAAAGTAAACGGTGATCCCCATTGCACTACCAATAATTTGTCGATAGAATTTATTTCCATCGACAAATGCAGTCTCTTTGAGAACAAGATGATCACCATCAATGATTGGTCTTGGTCGAGCATGAATCGTATTCATAATGGGTCGTAGTGTTATTGGATTTTAATTAGAAGAAGACGAAAACAACCAGTTATTGAATTAAAGAATAAGAGTAAAAAATAGTAAGTGACGTTACCTTGTGTGTTTTAGAATTGTAATACAGATAAGCTAACTCGACAGTCAATCTGCTCGGTATCATCTTTTTACATCGTGGAGATGAAAGCTGTTTAGTCTTGGCATGAAGATCGTTGAGTAAACGAGGACTTTACTTAAAATCTCTTCAATTGAACTTGATGATAAATCTTCATAGGCACCTGTTTTCATTCGATATTCAACTGCTTTTTCTTCGAATTCATTCATATGAGCCACATACAAATTGGCACCTTGATCTGTTCCTCGAAGTAGTGATTGACTTTTCTTGAGTTTACGACGAATCAACTTCATCGTCTGTAAATCACGTTGAGCACGAGGGTGTAGGTGTGTGAATGTGAGTGAATCTACTTTACGCCCACCCCCCACCCTCGAACGTGTGCATGCGCGTGAATTAGTGTATCATTACTTGCAAAATTGATCTTCTACTCAGCTGTATCCGTACTGAAATCCTTTTGAAATAGTACTATATAGAATCCTTCTTATGTATATGGTAAAAAAACATACGAATATTTAGCATATTATTAGTTTTATATAGTTGAGATTAATTGAACTCCGAGTCTCAATTATAAATCATAGTAATTAAACAAGTAAAGTTCATCAATATCGAAAGTCGATTCACTGGACCCTAAAATGACAGGACTATAGGCAACGGAGTCGGTAGGCTCACGAAGCTAGAGCCTACCCTAGTTTGGAATAGGGTAGGCTTGAGTAGACTCAATTATATCTAAGTGCTTGATTATTGCTTAGTTTTCACGCATGACGCATTGGTGCAAGGTTAGGTCATGTTTTCTTTATAACATTTAAGTCTACCAAGCAATCAACATTGAAAACAACAGTAGCGGAAGTTGATTCGTGATCAACTACCGAAGGGTGCCTCGATCGAGATTGAGAGGGGGCAGGGATGTAACACCAACAATATTCAAAAAATTGTCTTAGATTGTATTTCACAAAATGAAACTTACACTACCTTAACCACGATTTTATCAGTTGCCCCCCCCCCCCCCCCCCAGTGTTGCCAGATGTTAAAGTCAAAAATCCAGAAAATGCGGAGTATCGTTAAAATTTTTGGATGCTCACGACATCCTTGAGCACAGCATCTTGAAGAAGAAGTTTTTTACACCGCCCCATCCAAATTAGTTAGAAAATAGAGGGTATCCTAGAGGGAAATCGTTCCGCCGCCTATGGGCAGGACTCAGCAGTGAAAGTATTTGTTTAGATACCTGGTATCATTCAAAAGAAAACTGTGAAAGAGGCAGTTTGAAACAAGAAATTCTATTACTGTATCGATAAAAAACGATTATGAAAAACAGCTGTTTTATTATTTTCTATCAGAGTTTTTAATCTTTTGTATTTCTTTCAACAATTCTTTGTATGCTTTATCGAATCCAAGTTTAATAAAGTCTATGTAAGTGTCATCGCTGCATAACAATCCCAGCCAACCCATTGGATCATACTTTTCTTCAACTTTAACTGGTATAGTTTTCTTTTTACGTTTCCATGCATACTTAGCTTCTAGCTGACATGCATTGGACTCTTTGTATTTATTTGATATACACATAAGCACGATATTCGAACGTTCAATTGCTTCAGCCATTGATTCAAGTACTGAGCCATACATATTTTCTTTATCAATCCATACGCTATAGTTATCTTTGACAAGGCAATCATATAAACGATGACAAATATCACGTTGTGCATGACAATAACTAATCATTAAATCGAATGGTTCTGGTTCCTTTGATTCTTCTGGTACTGGTTCCGGTTTTGATGGTGGACACAACTTTTCCCATTCTTGGTAATCACCACGAATATAGTTGTAAATAGGTGCTGTTTTCGGCCCAATTTTCATGATTTTTGCTGGTGTCAATTGGGGAGGAGTCGATGGTCTTGACAACTGTGTCCTTATTTCTTTTGCTCTCTCTTGCTTATCGATTGCATTTTCCATGAACTTTCGTTCGTTTTCAATATTCCACATGATTCCATTGGCTACCCGTTCTTTTGATATTTCAGTTGATGCGGTATTCTTCTGGATAGTTTTAAGTAGTTTATCATCCTCTTTAATCTTTTCGGTGGCAATTTCGCCAACACACGATACAGTAAATATTATACGCATAGCTGGTTGTTGCACAGTTTTTTCGTCGAATTTGGGATCACAAGCACATTCCGACAACATTTCAAAACCATGATTATCTTTAGCTATTTCTTCTTTAATGTCGTCATTTTGAGATATGGCTAAATTTAATCAAATATGTGTGTTCAGTAAGGATATCGAAATTGAAACTGATTTATAAGTTGATAGAATTAAGATGGAAGGTCCAAAATCTGATTTGAACTGGTCAGTAAAGTACTAACTATTGTAATGTTTCATATGAAATAACTTATGAGAAAAACAAGAACATTTTGTATCGAAGGAGTCATAAACATATTTGGAAATCGTCAAAATATAGTTCTTCTGAATTTAATCATTCTTCAGCATCCGTAATCTCAAGAGAAGCTCAACATATTTTTAAAGTCTAACATATTTTAGATATGGCGAAAACTCATATGACTAATTTTCAAATGGACTACCCCAAGTTTACATATTGTATTTCGAGATTCACTTATGAAATCGAAATCTGTAAAAGTTTTAATAAAAATTGTCTTACTTTCAAGAGTGTTCAAAGTATTCGCTAATGGAATCCCTTGAAATTTTTGATTTGGTTGTTTAAGTGTATTTTTAAGATAATAAAAATAAGATTTTGTCAGGCGGTATGGATCTTGTATTTCATCGATATCTTTTTGCTTCAACAATGCCGTTATGTTTTTTGATGTAAAATGAATAGTATCATTTTTAGCTGCGTGAAATTTTTCGCAAATATGAAGTGTATCTTTTTCTTTAAGCATTTTGAATAAATTTTTATCGAACATCAAATTATATAGTAAAGTCAGAGACCAAGCAATAGTACCAACATTAGCATGATATAGTTGACTATGAATTAAACTGAAAGGCCCTTTTCTAACTATAGATAGAATATCATCGATAATTGTTAGCGAAATAAATTCTTTTCTTATTGACGGTGTTGATGCAAAATAATTTAGGATTTTAATATGATGTGATAGTGCTTGCATTCGTATTCCTGCTTCTTCAATCTTCTCTTGGTCACTTATGGTAGACGATTTCCTCGAATCATTCGGTGCGAGAGTAACAGGTAAATACTTAGCAAAGATTTCAGTAGTATTTTTAAGCATTGATTGAAATAAATCCTTCGCTATTTTGATTTGCTGTTTATATCCATGTTGATCAATAAAATTGAAGCATTCGCGAATGAAAAATGCTTGCTTGGGATCAAATATTGGCTGTTGAAGATTGACTGTATCGAAAACAGTTAAATACATATTAGAATCGAGGCATTTAATAATTGGATGTAGCAACGAATCAAAGTCAGTGTCAATCAATTTTGTACAAACTCGAACAAGCCGACCAATAACTTTATATTTAATGTGATACGAATCGTATTCAGTTTCAGCTAAATCAGATATTGAAAAAGCTAATTTAAATAGAATTTGCTTATTTAAAAATATATCTTCGTAAGATAAATTATTGGATTTCTGGGTGGTGCAACTTGGCATTTGTGAATCATTTACATGAATGCTAGGAGGAGTAGTGCTTATTTTTTCCTCCAGGGAATTACATATCACTAACTGATCGGCAATAATGTTTCTCTTCCGTAAGAGTACATTCGGGCTATGATTGATTAAAGGAATTTTATCTGCAACAAAGTATTTGGTAGGCACTTGAAATTCACTGTAAATATGAAGAAAAAAAGACGCATTCTTAGAAGTGAAAGTTAATGTTTTCAAAATAATATTCATTTACCGTGGATGTTTTGTTGTACTTTGTGTATAAAAGTTGACCAGAACTTCATTCTGATGCAAACATAAACGAGCGATCAAATAACTTATGTCATTGAAACATTGTTCTTCCTCATATAACATCTTAGTATGTCGTAAGTGGCTTGATTTTACTAATAACATTTCAAATGTGCACCGCACATACATGAATAATTCATGGTCAATTATTTTCGGGTTGTTAAATAATTTCGATGTGTGAATACTTGCCAGTTCGTGCGCAACTGCTGCCAACAGATTCAGGCCGTGCGAATCGCAATCAGTGTTATTTAGAAAGTCTACGATTTCATCGAATAGTTTGGTAATTCTTTTAGGTTCAACATTATTTTTTTCTCTCAGAAGTTGCCGAACTAGTAATAAATGACGTGCTAATAAGTTTTCCATAACGATATATTATCTAAAATATAGAGTCAGAAGAAAAAACAGTTTTGATAATGAAAACTGTTTATGCTCAAGAAAACGGACGAAGGTGCAGTGCTGAAAAATGGCATGCTTTATCGAAAATGATTACTGTTTTTATGTTGTCAATTTTGCTATTTTCGACCCAGCACATAACTGTTGGAATTCGATGATATTTTTTTTCTTTTGCCGAAAAAAGTTTTGATTGAAATTTTCCGGTATTCGCCATGTGCGGCTTAAATCATCCAATCTTTCGAGTCTATCCATTTCTTCTTTTGTTTTAAGTTCACATCCGATTTGACGTTCCCTTATCAAGTCAGCATTGTTACCATCACTCCTATCGATTTCTGCGATAGTTTCTAACTGCTTTTTCCTATAATAGTTCCACGACTGTTCGGAAGTTGATGAAAGTGCTTTTTTTCCCCAAAATTTGGTTCTGCTATTGGCAATGCTCCTTTTGATGTGTGCAAGCCATTTCACATGTTCCTTATCATAGGGGGTTTCACCCAATTTCATAAGCCTATCTTCAGTAATGTCCCATGCAACTTGTCCTGATTTAAATTTTGTTATGAAATCTTGATATTCTTCAACCTTCAAATATTTATGATATAATGAGATTAGCTAGACGATCAATCATTTGATTCAGTCTTTCTTTTTATAAAAACCACCAGTTTAACGCTTCGTCCTTATACTAAGAACATTTTCATTCAGTTGTAGCATAAGGACGAATCGTCAAACGGTTGACATTATAAAAAAAAAACTGAATAAAATAATCAATCGCTTAGTTACTCTTAGTGTTATGTCATTATTAAAATGCATAATATCAAATGAAACTCACATTTTTATTTGCATTGATACCGGCTGATTTGGAGGTTGACTTTTTTTTACGCTTTTGAGGCATTTTCGTTATCATTCCCTTTTGTTCGTCGGTTGGAACATCTACAGTTGTATGCTAAGAATAAAACATACGATAGTACATAAGATCACTGGTTGGTCGATGTTTTTGCTAAACTTGACAATCTAATCTTATTCAAATCAATGCTTAGTATCATGTCACTTTAAACAAAACCATGCCAAATAACTCTATAGGCATAAATTGATAGATTCTGTTCAGAAAATGTGCACAACTACACTCAGATTCAATGAGCTGTTTTATGTTTATTGAATTGTTGAAGCACTTTGCGATTATTACTCAACAAGATATTTTGGGTGCAGATATACACGTACTCTGAATTATAGTCATGATTAATAAATCTTGAGCAATTCTGGGAAAATAAATAACCAAATAGTAAAAGCAATAATGCGTCATGCTTGTCTCGTATTACTATATCTAAATCATTTGTTTTAAAGAGAAAAACAAGCCCGTGGGACGAATTCAATCCGAAATATCAATCTGTGAGAAGAAAAGAAATAAACTAGCTTCTTAAAGATCAAATAGATAGTTTACACGACACTTTTGCAAAACTAAGACTTCATAGTATTACTGAGATTTATAGTTGCTTACTTGTTCTTGCGATCGACGCAAGCGTCGAGGTGTATCTTTATCAATGAGTTCATGAAAGTAATCATGCGATTCTTCTAGTGTAAACCAAGGTTCATAGTATTTTAAATTAAACCGATCATCATTTTCATGTGCATTTAAACGAATCATGTTGTTTTCAACAGTATCTACTTCATCAAAGTTACACCAAGGCTCTTTGTCAACTATTGGAATTAGAAACAGTGCATCGTTAATGTCGCCAGTCAACGTAAATGGTGCGATGTTGAGTCGAATTTTGTTTGTCTTTTTTTGTTGCCACCGTTTTACACACGAAACAAATTCATTTCTGTAGCCTTCTCTTAGCAATCTTTCGTCTGAAGTAAAGATATGTGGAGTTTCTGAAAAACTGCGAAAACTTACTTTCTGTATAATCAGCATCTCTGTTCTTCGCTTCTATCAACCAATCAGTATGCCTATCGCCGCATGAATAATATCGATGTTCATCATTATCAACATTTTCAATTATACTTTCACAACTTTTCATCAATTCTTTCATTTCATCAGCTGGGATTCTATGGCTTTTCATTAAAATCTTCAAATTTTTTTTATAAGTCAATTTCTGCTCTTCTTTATCGTTCTTGGTGAAATGAGATGTGCGAGCGACAAGACGATCATTCGTAAAATACGGCAGTTCAACATCAATTTCGTTATCAAGCGTTTCTGAAGATACAACACGTGGTTTTGCAATTGGTTGACCAGCTCTACCAGGTTTAGTATACAACAACTAGAAACAAGAGATCTCGCAAGATAATAATGATCACCTTTAAAACTTACAATTTCTATTAATAATCTATCATATTCTCGATCGAAATTATTCTCATCTAATTCGACTATGAAATTTTTATCGAATAGCTCGTACGAAAGTTGGATTATCGCCATCGAATGTAGCCAGTTATTTTTACCACGACAAGCTAGCTTCGTTGGTTTGATAAGTAGAATTGTTTTACTACTTGACTTGGCATCCTTTATTTCATTAGCATTTTTAATAGCGTACTCTTCACTCAGATAAATAATAATTAAATCGCAATTTTGAATGGTTCCTTTTTGATCACCCGTGCGGTTACTCGACACTAAATAACCTTCACCGATGAGACGTTCTTTTAGACGAGAACATATACTTTCGTCAAATTTACAATAACTAAACCAAATGTTAAAATATTCTTGACTTTTTATCGGCTGGTTTTCATTGGTTTGTTTCGATGCTGGTTTTGGCGTGTTAGACAATTTCGGTGGCATCTTGGAGTATGTTACATCGATTACTTTCTGCTTAAATATTTTTGTCATTATATGAAATTTATCAAGCGCTTCATGAACGGCATTGACACGACCAGTTAACTCAATGATTTGTTCTGTTTGATTCAACAGCATGTGCAACATAATACACTTAGTTATACAATATTGATAAAATGCATTGATCATATCTTGAGTCCATAATTTCAAATCAACTTGGTTTTCTAATCTTTTGGTTATGCAGATCGTTTGCTTGATATAGCTGCTGAATAAATTTTGACATTTCTTCCAAAGATTATTTCTCGACATTGATAACTTGATTTCAGTGACTAAAAACGCATGAAATTCAGTAGGCGATAGAGAAATTGTTATTCTAGATTTGGTGTGTGTGTGTGTATGTAAAGAGAGAATAGTGCCGGTAGTGGCGATATTTTTCAGTAGTCCGTCGCATGTTTTCTTTTGCTTTCTTGACGCGATGATCTCAAGAACACAAAATCGTAGAAAAGTAGTTAAAACATCAGATGAAAGTATCGAGATCGAACTTATAAAACCTGTTTTCGAATCTTCAATCTGAAGTTTCGTTCTCTCAGAAATTTATTTCCCAAATGGCGAAAATGAAAGAAATTTGTTGCGAGATAATTAAAGTGACGTCATCAACAGATGTTAGCCACTATAGTCTATTCATTTACAGTTGATCTAAGATCGAAATCAATCTGTAAGAATAGATCGCTAAGTAAGAATAGAGTTTTCTCAGTGATGTGAATTTCATCATGTCGACATAATAAGCATTCAAGATTTCTCCGAATTGAAGATTCTTCGTGAAGATCCGTATTCTTACTTCGCATCGCATTTCGTGTACGAGTGCAACTCGGATACCGTCTAGTTTTAACTTATTGACCAACCAATAAAAATAGAATTCGTCTATGAGAACGCGTACCTGTGACTGGAATTGAAATTGTAGCAGCGCAATCTTTTTCGGTTTTTCTCGTTAACATGACCGCTAGAAATTCTTTATATAATTCTGTTTGCTGCTCGTTTTTAGAAAAAACAAGTAAAATTTTCCATCGGCATCCAATTCGTGTCTGCAGTTGATATTGCATCTCATTTATCATTTCTGAAGCAAATTCTTTTTTATTGGCACAATTTTCCCATTCAGTTGTTGAAAATATAATTCTTTCTAGCTTATCATGATCTTCCACGTTGTTACTGATGCATTGCAGCGATGTTGAAATAAATTTTTTAACGTTCTCTTTTAATTTCGATTTTATCTGAGAATTTCCGTTGCAAGTTGCAGGAGTCCAATGGAGAAATAAAGTCCTTTGGCCTGACGGTGTTTCAAAAAAAGTATTACCTTTGTTGGCGTCAATACCTTCTTTTTTTGCGTCTACTGGTGATGACAATACAGTAAGATCCATCTGAAGCAAATGAACAGAGAAAGGGAACAGTTAGAGAAGAATAAAAAATGAATGATTTAATTTACGTTTTCCTCCATAAAATGATTTGATGTGCTATGAATCTCGATCGATGCATGTAAAACAGCTGCTTTGTAGTACATGAAATCAGATGAAGAGAAAAGAGTTGACTGCTCAGTGATGTATTTGGATAAGCGGCTAATAGGTGTATTTGTTAATGCTTTTGGAACTGAGAAAGCTTTCCTTTTACACTTTGCCTCAATATCAATAGTTTGACAGTTGTTGATCAGCGAAAAATACTTGAGTTCTGTCTTCTCCTTTGTCGTTAATGATTGGGAAGCTTCTGGCGTAATGTGTTCGAATGTAACTGTAAAATGATCAAAAATCATCTGATTGATAGATGCTTTCACTTTTTCGACAAGATACTCTGGCGCTTGAAATTCATTTTGTCTGACGTTGAATTTGACGTCGTCGTCGGTGTATTGACGCTCGATTTCTCTCAATTTTTCTGAGCATTCGTCTAACAAGTAGTTGCGCTATAAAACACAACAAAGTAATAATTTGGGAAGACTCGCACTGTACAGAGTCGCCCATGGCAATCAGATACTCTTACCTGACTTTCATCCATAGTAATGTAGCATGTTCTGAGTTTATGCTTATGCATTAGTTGTTGCATTTGTTTTTTTAATATTTTCAATTGTTGTTTGTGCCCGAATAAGCTTACTTTCAGTTGTTGCTCTTTACAATATAGAACAGCTATTTCTTCGTGTTGTTTTTGACTATCACGAATGAACTGATGGAATTCTTGTAGAAATAGTTTTGACTTTACACTAGAGTTTCCATTATTTATTTCTGTGAAAGAAATTTCTTCAAGGAGTATTCGACTGATGTTTTCGATGAATGCACCAAATTGTTGCGTATCAGTATTAAAATAGTAAACAACGTAATAGCCTGTAAATAAGTCTGTTTTCTCCCAAACGGTGAACATTTTTCTGTTATCGAATATTTTCTGTATTGTTTGTAAAACACGTTGCGAGTAAATGTTTGAAGACCAATTGATCACTAAGAATAAATGAAAATGAGAGAATAAAAACCAATGCAATATATGCGATATTTTAAAATGAAAGGATGTACAAATAAATGCATGCCATACCTTTTCCATCCATTTTAGGATCGTTATAAGTTTTCATTTGCATCGAACTAAACATTGCTTTCGAAAACTCCCGAGCGCCTTTTACATTTTTTTTTACATCTCCGCTAAAATTCAAATATAAACTTGTTTCGTCATCTCGATTTTCATTGTTTTCTACAATTTGACATGCAACCTTGTATACTTTTGATAGATGCTTCTTCAATGTTGAGGAAAATCTTGGATTTTCAAAAAATCGTATTTGAATAGGATCATTAATCAAATAGTGCTTGGTGAAGCCATCAGTATCTGATAATCCTACAATAGTCTCACGATCGTCGGTCATTATTTCTAAAACGACAGTATAGAATAGAACGCTTTAAATTGTAATCAACAAAGCGATGTAATAATTAGTAGTTGACTCTATTCTTCATGAAGCAGGACTACTTTGATAAAACTTTAAAGTATGAAAATTCAACACAACGAGTTGTGTTACATTGTACTCGTGTTAGATATAGCACAAAATCTAGCTGTTTGTTAGTTTAAACTGCATTATGCGACCTTTCGTACTTCGGGTTATTTGAAAATTGACCTCACTTTCATTGAAAAACTCGTGGCATTCTATGAGAGTTCTTCATTTTCTCGTGTTCGAGGGGATCTCAACACACAACTTGTAGTATTCCGGATGATCTCTCTATAGCATTCCTAGGGATCTATGCATCAGTCTATGAAAGGATCGTCAAATTTATCAATGAGACAAACTTGTTTAATTTCAATTTCTATTTTTTAACAGGGGTAAACCTTCGCATTCATAAATGTCTTCTATGATATTCATCCAGTTGTTTTGGTCGCTACTCATATTAGAGTTTGTCGCACAGAAGAACTTTCATTTTACATAGAGTTATCAGAACATGAAAGAATATTTCTTTTAAATTCTCATTCATATTTAAAGTTGAACTAGAAAGTTCTTCACCACTAATCGTAAAATCGAATACGATGGCATGCAATTTTTTCAACAAAATATTATTGAGTACTCTGAGATTCATCTTACAGGAAGATGATGAAGAACTTTTTCAGAGAAATTCTGTACAAACAGGTAAAAGCTGACTGCAACAATTTCCGACGTTTTGCATATGTAGTCATGAGTTCTGTAATTTTCATAATTCTCTA